CCCATAATACATTGCTTTGTCCCCTCTGTAATCTTTGTGTATGAGTCGATTTGGTTTTCAACGTTGGACCTAAAGCAACATTTCTTTCCTTGATGATAACTGGCATCATTCACTCAGGCAACTAAATTGAAAGCAAAAAGCGAGCCGGTTTTATTTTTTAAGGCCCTAATATGATACAATGGCTCCAAATAATTCAGAGACCACTGTGTTCTCTGCATTTCTGCAGCCTTTGAGATTAGCTGATTTATTCATGGCTAAAGCATCTGGAGTATGAAAAGCCATGGATTTGCAATTAATTTCTGGCATACATGTTTGAAAGACCTGGAGTCTGCTGACCTCCTGGACACCATGCAAGTCCCATCTGCTATCTGCGCACTCATACTTTTGTCTAAAAGGATGAAGAGGGAGCAATTTAGACTATGATTAACTGCTACCTTCTGTATCTGTTTTTCATAAAATAAGCCCATTTCTCCTGTTTCAATCTGGTAGAAGTCAGCTGGGATGCTCATATTTTTAAAATGGAAAGATCAGTCAGTCCAATGGTCATACAAGGCACACACCTCTTGAAGCAAACTAACGGGAATCCATGGAAATATTTCCAATATTACGAGGGATGAAAGTACTACATACCAACAACTTTTACTTGAGTTCAGGAACTTTCCCATAGAAAATGAAATCTTAATTACAAATTATATTTTGATTTTGATTTAAATCATGACACAGAAGCCCACCACAGCGAGAATACTTGTAACTAGGGTTCCTATTTTAGCACATCCTGACAAAACTGTTAAGCTCCTTCTATTCACTGGAAGAATAAGGCAGTATTTTCCTCAAAATGAAGAACTGTTTCCATGACATAATCTTCAGAGTCACCAGTTACCCGAGAGCTGCCTGTCCCCAGCCTCCATGGAGGGAACGAGGGACTCATAAAAAGGAGGACAAGGACTGGTCAACACTATGGCAAACACCAGCCCAAAGCCCTCAAGGCATCAGGTGTTGTTCTCAAAAAAAAAAAAATTCCTGATGCATTATTCGGACATTGGCACGGATAGCTTTGTCCTATCTCAAACTTCCACCAAACCAGCATCATATCACTACTCTCCAGTGAGAAAGAACATGTCTATTAGAAGACACCAAATCCTCTTCCACTTTTGTACAAAGTCTGCTCCTTTTCACCTGGGACCATGTCATCCACCACATTTTCAAACAAGAGAGACGACTCCTTCCCATGTGCATTGCTCCAGGAGAGCCACAACGAACCTATCGCTGCTCCTCTCCTGCGGCCAGCACCGTTCCCCCTTCCGTCCTTCAGTTATGGACATCATCGTGACAACAGCACTGTCACCAGGAACTGGAGAGCAACAGGCTCGTCTCGAAACCTCTTAAACTACCAATGAACCGTTCTAAAGGGTGCTGCTAAGAAGGAGCAACGCCCAGTGGGCCACCTCCACGGCCTGGACAGACAGACAGACAGACACGGGAGGCTCTACCTAGGCAGGCATGCCAAACAGCCGCCTCCAGCACAACAAACAGCTGGTATTTATACTATTTTTCTTGCACCGCCCCACCTGCTCGGCTGACACCCCAGCTCTGCAGGGCTCATGGCCACCGCTTCGCTGGCACTCAGGGCCAAGCTTTCACTCCCAACGACAGCAGCCGGCGAGCAGCTGACAAAGTCATCCCCCTAAAACCAAGGCTGCAGTTGAGTTCAGGACAACACCAAGTTTTTTTAAAATAAGATTCTGGATCCCAGACAGATAAACAGTCTTCGGCCTTTGATGTACTGAGAATTCCCCTCAAGATGCTGACCAGAGCTGTGTGAATAATTGATTTTCTCAGCTGAATAGCTGAAGCAACCAGCCAAACAAACCCCAAAATGTAAATTTTTTTTTTTTTCCTTGAAAACTGGGGGGGTGGGGGGGGCGGGGCGAAGTGTAGTTCGGGACTGTTGAATTCTTTCCTTCAAACAGAAATTGTCTCTCTTCCATTTTAAACATTTTGCTTTTCCCCAGACAAAAAAAATCTAAAAATGCAATACCAGATTTGTGATCGGAAGCAAGGGCACATGTCCCATAAGGTAGGGCATCTCTCAGGCAAGGTCACCTGAGGCGTATGGTTCCTGCTTGGAGAAATCTGGAGAAACAGCCACGCTGCTTTAAAATCCAGCCCGTGGGAGACAGGTTCAGGCCTGGGAACCCGGACCCAGGTTTCCCCGCCATGCTGAAAGGAAAGGGAAAAGTGCTACCTCTTACTTTCCGTGTTGCACACTCAGATCTCCTCACGGACCTAACTCCCGAGCCAAATGCTTCACCTGTCAGACGTCGGGACGACATCTCTCAATTTCTCTTCTACTCTGCTAAAAGAGAAATCCATTAAAAATCTGACCTCCTCAAGAATCTTGACTGCCAAAAAAATCTATTTTCGGTGTTAGCTGCGTCAGATTTTTGACCATTCTGTCAACACACACAAAAAAAAAAAGCCATATATGTTTGCAGCGTTACAGTCCGACTGTTAAGAAACGCCGAGTGGAATGGCCCTGGTTTCGGACGGGCGAAAGGAGGAATGTGCGCTGGCGGGAAGCCCAGCCCCACCCACCGCGGCGCGCTCCCGGCCATGTCATGGGCTTGAGCGTCGACAGCGACCCCGTGCTGAGCCACGCCGCCGCGAGCCGGTGACACCTCTCTGGAAGGCCCCTGCAGCGCCCACCTCGCACCGGGCCGTGCAGCCGCCGCCATTTTCCTGTGCGGGGTCATGTCGAGGACGGACATCGCCCTTCCAGCCCTTCTGATTAACAGCCAGCGCACCGAGTGCTTCACGCTATTGCAGGAGGGTGCAGGCTGCTTACAAAAATCACATCGTGAACCTGGCGCGAGCCGTTGCTGTTCGCTGTGGACGGCTCGTCGCAAGCACCGAGGCTACCCACAGCATGGCGAGAGTCACCCAAAGCCAGACCTGCAGCTCCTCGGCTCACGATGCCTCGGCCGCTACGCTTTAATTTCTAAAACACACGTGGTCGAAAAGCAGATGACCTGCCACACGAAAGAGGGAAGGGGGACAGGGGAGCGCCTGTTGTGTTTTGAGCCCTATTACGCAATGGAGTTGAGATTGCATAAGGAAGGGAGCGGGATGACAGAAACGTAGCTCCCGTGACGCAGAGCCCGGCTACGATGTCAGGCTGGCAACACATCACAGCCCACACCTCTCCAACCCAGAAATTAAATTTATTGTCAGTGCTACCTAGTAACCTTTCCACTTGGAATGAATGATCCAAGACATTGAAAGGTGTGCACTACACCTATTTAACTACTAAGTTACCACCAGCAATTTATTTCAGCCTTTTATTGTGTCCCACATGCATTCTCTTTTTTTCTTTCTATAATTAACTTTGTAAACTTCAGCAAGAATGCAACTGAAACTCATGCACTTTAAATGTGTTTATTAATGATGGACACATAAACATCCCCTGTCATCAGAAATTACTACTACTTTCTAGAAATCTCTTAAACGGTTTAGGGGAGAGAACTGACAGATTATATAGCTTAATATTTATTACTTATAAAACAATGTAGTACTTTTCTTCACTGAGCCGTTTTATGATCCCAGCAAACCTTAATTTAACCAGTTTACATACAACATTCAATACTGCAGAAAGGTGCTGAATTGTTAAAAAAATCAAGAATATTTAGCATTGCCCTGCTAAACCTTTCTTTAAAATAATGAGAACTATGATCTCAATAAAAAGAGATGGGTCAACAGATACTGAGATGCACTAAGAGTAGCTACACAACTTCAACGTACCCCAGGCCCAATGTAAATTAAGGCTCTCTTTCTTTTCTGGCAGATGTTTTTTATATCCCAAGGTGACCTAGGAAACGTGACCTCTTCAAATTAAGTGTAGAGAAAAATACTATCTATCTGGTTAAAAAATGGAGCAGTAGGCCCAAACCCAGCGGGGGAAAAGGAAGAAAAGTCACTTACAAAAGAGTCTGTTAAATAATCAGAAATAATTTTCTGTCTTCAGAGAAACCAAGCCTTTACTTCTGTTCATGCGAGCAGTTCCACAGAGGCAAACAGGAGTAACCTCATTTTCCAGCAAATGAAAAATATGTTATTATTTACTCTTT